CTTATAAATATACTACCTCCTTAGATCAATTATCAGTAGGGGCCAAACTTGCCTTTCCATCTTGGGTACCGATTTATCAGTTTTCCGCGGGAGTTTTTGTTCGTTTACACGTTTGTGATAAAATCAACCAATCACATTCAAGTTTCATTCTGCGGCTAGCGAGGCTCCGCCCACTCTCCGTCCGCCATCTTTGATTGGCCGAGACGATACGAGGATTGGGTGCTGAAGTTCCCAAAAGTATTCGTAAGTTTTCATGAACTAGCTTGTCAATCCTCGTCGAAGGCTAGCATAAAACACACCCCGTTTGACATAGGAACACATTGTTTACGGTATTTTCAAGCCACAGTACACACGAGTGATAAGTTACGGCAGAATATGAATCCCATTTTCTCTTCTTGGTTAGCATATGTAAGCTGCCGAGCCCGGACACTCCATCAAAACAAGTCCCATTTGTCGAAAAGATGGCATGGTGTGATAGGAAGCCTGTGTAAAGTTTTTAATTGTGTTACTGATGGCACGATACCAACCCGCCGGTGTCGATAGGCATCACTCGAGACGTACGGTTGCCAACTAGCCACTTTTTGGCCCCTCCCTCTCCCCACCACAACAAGGTCGGAGGTGAGGGACTCTGGCTAAGCTAGTCTAAACCTACAAATTCTTGCATAAATAAAGTACAAAGCGAATAGGAAACACCATAATGAAATAATATAAACAGAAGAAAATGAATAAACGATGTAAAACAAAAAAACAGGGGTTGTGGTGGTGGTGGGAACAGCCATATGAATTCTGGTCATGAAATGGGTGGAGTTACCAACAGGTTCCATAACTATTGGATAACAAATTAACAATCTGAGGAAGGATTAATTATGGCTGAGTCTTTCACATATTATTAACTGGTGCTGAGTGAAGGTGGGTACACACACACACATACACACACACTTGTTCCCACACCTATGTTATTAACCTAAGTATATGTTGCATTATGTGATACTCCGAAATGACTTGTGTGTGTGTGTGTCTGTGTTTTATGAGGGTGAGAACGTTTTTTTTATCGTGTGTGTGATTGTTTGTTTCATTGTGTACGTTTGTTTTCCTGTGTGTATGCATGATTGTGTGTGTGTGTTTGTGTATTTTTGAGTGTTTGAACGTTTTTTCTCTTGCATATGTTTTTTTATTATTTTTGTGTTTATTTTATGTACGTTTGTCACGGAGCAAGTTTTACACACATCCACACACACACACACACACACACAGATAAATAATCATATCAGAAGACAGACGTAACAAAGAGAGTTGCGTCTCACCCAAAGATAGGAAAGTGAATTTGTCTTATCTCCTTGAGGTGATTACGGCCAGTACAGGTGAACACAGGATGCACTGGTACTCGCTCTGGCAGGGTGATGAGGGAGAGGGAGGAGAGAAGGTGTACAAGTCAGGGAGAGGAAGGGAGATGGGGGGAAATGGGTAAACAAGTGAGGGGAGGAAGGCGAGCATAGGCAAGGGGGTGGGAGTAAGGGAGGGAGGGATAGTGTTGATGGTGAAATGATGGAGACCGATAAGTGATGATGGTTAAGGAAGTGGGTGGTGTTGGGGAAAGGTGTTGGTGGTAATCTTGAAGGAGTGGTGCTGTTGAGGGAAGAGAGCAGTGTGATGGAGGAAGGTGGTGATGGTGGTGGAGATAGAAAGAGAGAGAGGGAGAAGGGGGTTAGTAGTGGTGGTGTGGAATAAGGTTGTATCAGGCGTGGTAGAGGGACACCTAGAGAATACTTGGTCAGGGAGATAATATGCATTGTGGTGGTGATGACTGGGTGGTGTGGGTAGTGGATGGGGGTGGTGTGGGTAGTGGATGGTGGTGGTGTGGGTAGTAGGGGTGGTGTGGGTAGTGGATGGTGGTGGTGTGGGTAGTAGGGGTGGTGTGGGTAGTGGATGGTGGTGTGTAGTAGGGGTGGTGGGTAGTGGATGGTGGTGGGTCGTAGGGGTGGGTAGTAGGGTGGTGTGGGTAGTGGATGGTGGTGATGGGTAGTAGGTGGGTAGTGGATGGTGGTGATGTGGGTAGTAGGGGTGGTGTGGGTAGTGGATGGTGGTGGTGTGGGTAGTGGATGGTGGTGTGGGTAGTAGGGGTGATGTGGGTGTGGATGGTGGTGGTGTGGGTAGTAGGGGTGGTGTGGGTAGTGATGGGTGGTGGTGTGGGTAGTAGGGTGTGGGTAGGGGTGGTGGGTAGTGGATGGTGGTGGTGTGGGTAGTAGGGGTGGTGGGTAGGATGGTGGTGGTGTGGGTAGGGTGGTGTGGGCAGGATGGTGGTGGTGTGGGTAGTAGGGGTGGTGTGGGTAGTGGATGGTGGTGGTGTGATAGTAGGGTGGTGTGGGTAGTGGATGGTGGTGGTGTGGGTAGTAGGGGTGGTGTGGGTAGGAGTTGTGGGTAGTGGATGGTGGTGGTGTGGGTAGTAGGGGTGGTGTGGGTAGTGGATGGCGGCGGTGAGGGTAGTGGATGTGGTTATGATGGTTAAGAAAGATATTTTTACGTGGTTGGAAGCTGATAGTAATAGTTGTGATGGTAATGGTGGTGGGAGGATTGCTGTTAGAAGCGGTGGTTCTTGTGGTGATTGTTGTTGTTGAAACCCTTAAAAAATAATCACAAGGCCCTATTTTGGAAACCTCAAATATGGGACTTGCTATTTTGGAAACCCTAATGTCGGAAACCCTTATTTTGGGACAGCATTTTTGGAAACCCCCTATATTGGAAACCCCCTTTAGAACCCCCCCCCCCTTTTATGGATTGTTATTATTACTTTTTAAACACTGATTGACTTTGGTTGGATCAAGTATTCACAGGTGCGCTTCCTATACCTGGCCCACTACAGCACTATCCTCAGTTCGTCCCTCTCACTATAGACAAAGAAATATTTACAATTTAGGTTAATGTTGTATGAGGTTTTCAGTCACTGGCAAATGTGTGTGTGTGTGTGTGTGTGTGCGCTTTTTATGTATGTATGTGGCTGTAATGCTCTGTGTGTGACTGTGGTGCTGTGTATGTAGATATGTGTGTGTGAAGAGGGTAGGTGTAACGTGCGATAAGGGAGGGAATGTGGTAGTGGTCGGGAGGTGGTGATAGTGTTGGGGGGGGGAGTGCAGGTGTACTGACGATAAGAGTGGTCGTTCCCCTGATAAGATTGAGACCAGACTGACGAAGCAAGACTAGAGGGTGGAGCTGAAGGGAGGGGAGGATTAATGGACGGGGGGGGGGGGGGGGGAGGGTGGGGGGAGGGAAAGACGAAGGAAGTATTAGTTGAATCAAGAAAAAAAAAGTATGAATATTAAATGATTGGTAAGAGACTGTAAACGAATTAAAAGAGGAAGGATTAACACTCACACGTAGCACTTACTACGCAACCACCTGTCATAACGCTGCCACAACGGACACATATTATTATTATTATTATTATTATTATTATTATTATTATTATTACTTGGGAGCTATTATTGAAAAAAAAAATATGTTTGTTTGAAATGTTTGATTTTGTTCAGAAATAAAAGTCTCGAGATATGTCTGTATGTCTGAGTGTTCATTCAGCTCTCTTTTATCTATTTATGTCTGTCTGTCTGTCTGTCTGTCTATATTCATCAATCCTTCTCTCTGTCCCGATATAACAATTTATTTATATATCTATTTGTCTGTCTGTATTAAAAGCTTCTCCATCTGACAGGGAGTAGACAAGTAGGTTAGGTTAAGTTTTGTTAGAGTGAGTGAGTGAACAGGTGTGAGTGAGTGAGTGAACAAGTGTGAGTGAGTGAGTGAACAGGTGTGAGTGAGTGAGTGAACAGGTGTGAGTGAGTGAGTGAGTGAGTGGAGTGAGTGAACAGGAGGAGGAGGAGTGAACAGGTGGGAGGAGTGAGTGAACAAGTGTGAGGAGGAGTGAACAAGGTAAGTGAGGAGGAACAGGTGTGGGAGGAGGAGTGAACAGGTGTGAGGAGTGGAGGGGAGGAACAAGTGTGAGGGGAGTGGGAGGAGGAACAAGGCGTGAGTGGGAGGAGGAACAAGTGAGTGAGTGGAGTGAGGAACAAGTGTGAGTGAGTGAGTGAACAAGTGTGAGTGAGTGAGTGAACAAGTGTGAGTAAGGGAGTGAGTGAACAGGTGTGGGAGTGAGGAGGAGTGAACAAGGTGGAGAGTGGTAAGGGGAGGAGGAGGGAGGAGTGAACAGGGGTGGGGAGGAGGAGTGAACAAGTGAGGAGGAACAGGGTGTGGGAGGAGGGAGTGAGTGAACAGGTGGGAGTGGGGAGGAGTGAACAAGTGTGAGGAGGAACAGTGGAGTGAGTGGAGTGAGTGAGTGAACAGGTGTGAGTGAGTGAGTGAACAGGTGTGAGTGAGTGAGTGGGTGAGTGAGTGAACAGGTGTGAGTGGGTGAGTGAGTGAGTGAGTGAGTGAACAAGTGTGAGTGAGTGAGTGAGTGAACAGGTGTGAGTGAGTGAACAAGTGTGAGTGAATGAGTGAGTGAGTGGGTGAGTGAGTGAGTGTGCCTATCTCATCATACCTGTGTATGTATTTTCACGAGCTGTTTTGTCACCCATATCTGCTTCCTACTTAGTTATTTTATGTTAATATAATAGACCTAAGTATTTATCGTCCGGGGCTGAGTTTGGGTGCATTTTCACAATACATTTGTGTATGTGAACCCGCCAGTCGCCACGGGAAACTCACGTGATCACTTAACCACATTACGCTCATATCACCCTCATCTATCAATCGCCTCTTCATTAGTGACTTTGCAACCTTGTCTTGAAGTGCAGGCGTTTAATCACCAACGCAGAAAGATGTACAATTGTATGAATGTGTGTGTGTTGAAGGTGACAGAGTTCAGTTTGACGCTACACAGTTGGTTAATATTACCTGCCTCTAATTAAACTGTACCCAGATGTTTCTGTTTGTGGCCGCCAGGGGTTATTTCGGTGTTTCTCTTTGTATTTTTCTTAGTACTGATAATGTATTCTTTTTTCGTCTTTCAGGAGATGATGATTGGGACAGTGACGGTGAAAAATCGGCGAGTGACTTAATGACGTCTTCACACTCCGACCAATCCGCAGGAGGGGAAGGCGTGACGTCATCGCCCTTCTCTATCCAATCAGAAAACGGTGTAGGGGGTGAGGCGCCTGGGGACGGCCGTGAGTCTTCAAGAGCCGCCAGTCCAGTCGATAAAGATCTAAAGGAAGCCATCGATACTACAGTCAGGAGCTTGTCTGACAGGTGCGTTATAAAGTGTGTCACAGAACGTACGGTAGTCACATTGTTCTTCATGGTAACCAAGAAGGCACAAGGGAACAATATTTAATGACTTTAGTGGCTTGGTGAGAGTGTGGGAAGACCGAGACGAGTGAAAGTGTGTGAAGACCGAGACGAGTGAGCATTGTTACCATGACGAGTGAGAGTGTGTGAAGACCGAGACGAGTGAGCATTGTTACCATGACGAGTGAGAGTGTGTGTGAAGACCGAGACGAGTGAGCATTGTTACCATGACGAGTGAGAGTGTGTGAAGACCGAGACGAGTGAGCATTGTTACCATGACGAGTGAGAGTGTGTGAAGACCGAGACGAGTGAGCATTGTTACCATGACGAGTGAGAGTGTGTGTGAAGACCGAGACGAGTGAGCATTGTTACCATGACGAGTGAGAGTGTGTGAAGACCGAGACGAGTGAGCATTGTTACCATGACGAGTGAGAGTGTGGGAAGACCGAGACGAAAAAGCATTGTTACCAACTCCACGTTACGCCACTCATAACCATAACAAAATTAAGGAGAGATACACAAATGCGTTACTGTACTGACAAAAACTAACTACATCTGATAATTGTGTTAAATGTTAATGGTTTACCAAGTTCTAATATATATATTTTTTAGGACGTTGAATAAGTTGTGTGGGATATGCTTGACGCTTGAGGAGAGGTTTAGGAAAATAACTCCTCAACAGCATCCACTACATTAGACACAAGTTTTCCTTCTGTCATCGGTATTTCCTGATTTTCATCCCTTGCTTTCTACCATCAGATGCCCACACACTTTCTACCTGGTTTTTTGTACCATCTGTCACTTACCACCTGGCTTATTGTACCATCTGTCACCACCTGGCTTATTGTACCATCTGTCACTTACCACCTGGCTTATTGTACTATCTGCCACATTCACCACCTGGCTGCCGCTCACATTCACTGAAGACATCACACGCTTGACCTGTCGTACTAGAGATGTATTTGGATAACTCTTTAATATTTTTCAAGAGTTTCTATACATTTACTGTGTATTGAGGAGCCGCCGTGTAAGAATGGACTCATACAGCGCCTAAGTGATTATTGTCTATACCAGTGAGTCAAGAGGTTACATAATTACGGGTACTGGCGCGGATAGGTTTCCCGTGAGTTTAAATTTTCTCTTAATTACATGATCATAATAAATAGATTTGGCGGGTGTGACGGCCAGATACAGGAAGTGAATGAGTGAGTCAATCAGTATGTGAGTGTATAGAGGTGTCGGTAGAGCCAAAGGTGTTTTGTAGGTATATAATATTAAGTATATCACACGTAATTAATCTACTCCCAAGTTTACTATCGTTTGGTATGAACTGTTAGTAGCGAGAGAAAGAATGTCCTATAGACTGGCAGCAGTCATACCCCCCCCCCCCCTAACACACACACACTGATATTCTCTGGTCCAGGGAGGGAACGTTCTTACCAAGTATTCTGAGTCTATCTAGGTACTCTACTGGGGAACTTGGGAAGTACTGTTTTCTGTCTCTGTTTGTATAATTATGTCTCCTCCTTTTATATTAAAATTAAACACATTAACTTTAGTTCCCATGTTATTAGCACGGGGAAGCAACGTTGTAACTGAGACATCCTACAGTCCATTCATAATGTTTGTGCTTGAACAGATTAAATATAAAGATTTGGTTTTTCTTTTCTTGTAAGGTAATTATAAAAAAATATATACTGACCTTGATATCGTTTTCTATAGAGATTATTAATTAAAAGCTCCAAATCGTGGCCTCTGTTTCTGTCCTCAGGAATGGAGAAGAACCCTGCACGGTTAATGATGTGATGACCAAACATTCTCTTAAGTTGTTACCGTATAATTTTTTCCCATAAGTTATCCTCAACGCGTCTTTGAGGATCTGAGGCAGTCTTGTTATTGTAACTTCCCTGTGACTCATAAGGTCTGGTAAAGAATAGAGTTTAATTTATTTGTGTTATATTTTGCCGAGAGAGAGAGAGAGAGAGAGAGAGAGAGAGAGAGAGAGAGAGATTTTATGTAAAACGGTATAGAATCAGTACAAAAAACTAGGATATATCATAAAGATATATTTCAGTGCCTCTTCTTCGGTAAGTTACCCCTAGAACATGCTAAAGCTGCCTTGGGAGATGTGAGGAGGGGTGGCACATAGAGGCGCCCTTTCTTGCGGTCCGACTAATTACCCAAATGAAGCCAAATGTAGCCGGAATGAAGTCAAATAATGGTCCTAGATGAATAAATCGGACTGCTAATCACTTCTCGACTAGTATTTGGTGTCAGAAAGTCACAAATGTACCCAAATGTAGTCGCAATGAAGTCAAATGATGGTCGTACAAGCGTAATTCGGGCTGTGAATCACTTCTCGATTATTATTTGGTGTCATAAAGTAAAAAAAAAATTGGTAAACTTAATTTAATCTGAGTTGGGTTAGGTTAGGTTAGATTAGATTAGATTAGATTAGGTTAGGTTAGGTTAGGTTAGGTACATGCACTCAATCTATTAACTCAGATTAAATTAAGTTTACCAATTTTTTGTGACTGACACCAAATACTAGTCGAGAAGTGATTAGCAGTCCGATTTATTCATCTAGGACCATTATTTGACTTCATTCCGGCTACATTTGGCTACATTTGGGTACATTTGAGTAATAACTCCGTATAGCAACAGTCTAGTGAATCATTGGCTTACAGTACATGTGCACTTACCTTTACAGAGGGGTGATGGGGATATTAGTTCAGGGTCAGCTTTATCTTCTTATCACGCACAGTACCGGTGTGTTTAACTTGTACCCTCTTTGTCGAGTGAGTAGGGTTTTGGTGGATAAGTTTTAAGTTTCATTATTCTCCCAAGACTGAGTGTGTCTGGTGGGGATAACGAGGAAGGGCGCAACTCTCCTGCACCCGGCGTCTCCGTCAACAGGTCCACGCCCTCATCTCCGTCTAACTACGCTCAAGGTGCCAGCCACTACGCCAAGACACAACCGGTAAGTGTCTTAACATGGTTAACCTAATGTGACCTAACGTTCACAACACGATGCTACTTGTGGCACTATTTTTGCCTTGGGAGACAATTTTCAGTTTAATACTTTATATATATATATATATATATATATATATATATCTTGATAAAATCACACGGGGAAAAGGGAAACAACGGAGTACCTTAGTATTCGTCTTTATTCAAGACATCTTCAGTTGCCTCTGAAGATGTCTTGAATAAAGACGAAAGCTAAGGTGCTCCGTTGTTTCCCTTTTCCCCGTGTGATTTTATCAAGATTTATCTTATCCACGTTTTCATTGTGGATCTACATGTGATATATATATATATATATATATATATATATATATATATATATATATATAATATCAGTCCATATAGCACGCGGACTTCCTTATGCAAACAATACCTCACTATAAAAAATATTCGGGAATCGAACCCTGGACCTTATAACCAAACCCATCTTATTCTAAAATAACATAAACCAATTTTATCTAACCTAACCTTAACTACCTAACCTAACATATCCTAATCTAACCTAACCAAACCAATATGCTAGGGTTCCTAACAGTTCCTGAAATCCATTTACTCTTATAAGTTTTTTAATAATCTGTAACAAAATTTATTTGGCAAAAATTGATTCAAGTTCCATCCATAATGTGAACCTTTTGTCATTGAAATTTCTATAGCCAAGGTTAATTTCCTTAATATTACTCTGTCCTGGAACCAGTGTACATGTTTATTATTAGTTATTATTACCAATCGAAACTAGAATTTTATCTTCCCAACCAATAGAAGCCTACAGTCAACACTTACGCTTTCTTACGCTTTCTTCCATGACGTTTCCCTCGCAAATGACCAATAGTATATTATGATTAAAGGTTAATTTATGGTAGTGCTCCCTTCCTTCTTTGGGTATTAGAAATGTGTAAAAACAATAAACAAGCAGACATAGGTTAGGTTAGATAGAGCGGTGCACTAATATAAAAAGATCTTATTAAATTATTATTTATATTATTATAATTATCCATTTAATTTAAATGACACTCGTTTTGTATCTTTTACACCATGGTAACTCGTTCAAACTCATTCACTCATTTAATTCCCACATTTAAACTCATTCATCAAACTCTTTAATTACGTCCATTTTCTCTGTTGTGATAAAAGAAAATGGAACTTTTACTTGGGAGGACTCCTTTACCTTTTTATTATGGTTGCAAGATTTATAAATTATTATACTTTAGTGTACTTTACTCTACGTATTTTATCCTCTTCGTCACTGTTCGGCCTGCTAGCCACTTGGAAGGTCAGTCACGTCTTTGTTAGGCACTGTTTGCATCTTGGTGAGAGCTTGGATAAATGCTTAAAGTCACAACTCAGGTTACAGAACATGATACAGTCCTGTGTCCAGTATCCACTGACCTTGTGAGATGTTAATATTAGGAGTAGAAACACACACACACACACACACACACACACACACACATATATATATATATATATATATATATATATATATATATATATATATATATATATATATATATATATATATATATATATATATATATATATATGCAAGTAAATCACTGTAGGTGCGCGTGATGTAGGTTTATGCTGATAACCACAAGGAAAGAAGAAAACACGAAGTTCCCAAGCGCTTTCGTGTAATTCACATCTTCAGGGGTGAGTACAGACTAAAGAGAAATACAAACCAAGGAGTATATATACAGAGGAGGGTGAGACCAGGTCCACAATGGTCAGGTATTAGGTAATGACCCTACTAATCTTTAAATAGCACACAACGGTTGGTGGTCAGGTCAGATGGTCAGGTGACCCGACCTTCTCACCTGGAACATCATAGAATCTAGTCTTATTAAACATACCGAAGCATTCAACATGAATTTGAGGAACGGCATGTTCAACCTGTCACATGTCACATGCACAAAAAATGGCTCCAAATACAGGTGCCAATGACAGTCATGTACTGATCTCAATCGTACATGTTAGTTAACTTCTTTCATATTTATAGTATGTTCAATAGCCCATAAAACATGTAGCTGTGACCTTTCTTGACTTACCCACTAAATGTACAGTTTCTCTCTTGTCTCTATTCCTTTCTCCCACATACGAATTCTCATGTTAATGTTTGTAAATTTGAAATTACGATTGAATGCGGATGTGTTAATCACAGGATCAATTGAGTGTGATGCTGAAAGTTTCAACTGCTTTTATTTTTAGTGAAACTGTAATACAGTATAAGCTTAGTGTTTGGGCTGGCAAAAGCTGAAAGATTCCACTTCTCCTCTGTGTGAGAATACAAGATCTATTCGCTCTCAAAATTTTATATCTTTGATCAAAAGGAATTAGAGAATGTGATGAATATATTTAAATGATTGTCATGTTTGTATTTAAGAATCTTATTAATCATGGGAAAGAGGCTTATCAATCTACAAACAAACAGAAAAAAGACCTATACAGTGTACACTCACAAGACCCCCTTGTACACAGCAGCTGCCTCACCACAGAACGTGACTGACATTCAGTGTAGTGGTCACTAATAATAATTGATGCATTTCAAGCTCAAGCACTGATTAGATTATAACCATTAGTCTTAAGAAATGTTGTAAATTCTTATAGATGTTACTTGCATTAATGTGAAGTGCACACGACTCAGAATAATAGACTTGTAATTCCTAGTTTGCAATGTTCCATTATGAGTGGTGAGCAGGCAGTGGAGGGGAGCGTTCATTCTGAACGCTGCTCCCATGCCTGGCAGGTATGTTAACTAGTTGTTCCTGTATTCCTTTGTATTTTGTTAAATAAGCCTATTTTGTGAATTATTTGATTGAACAAGTAACTCTACTAAGTTAGTTAAGGCCCATTATAAGAAAAGGATGACTAATATTGTGAGGAATGAGACTTCAGTCTATGCTTGCTTAATTTAACATGTGGTATTTTGGCTAAAAGTGATTCACATATCAAGTACTGTACCATTACTCACAAGTAAAACTGGTATATTATATGGTAGACAGTACAGTACAATTTTGCACTTTGGCCATATAATTTTTATTTTCTTATATAATTTTCTGATATAATTTTGAGGTTTTACACAACAAAAAATTTGTTGAGCCGTGTGTGTAGTGTCGCATGGGTTTAATAACATCTTTCTTTCAGGTAAAGTGTGAGCGTGGGTCGTCTTCACCCAGCCCACAGCCCGGCCCCGCTGTTAATGCCATCATGAAGGAAGAGGCCAGTACGCCCTCCCCGCCCACCCACGCCCCCTCTACGCCCCGGAGCCATGCCTCTCCTTCTCTCACGTCAGAAGTGGAGGCAGCCCGCCAGCAACTCACCTCCATGATCCAAGGCCTTCCACTCCTCTCCATGCTGCCAGCTCTCCACCGCCTTGCTCCTGGTGAGACCCCAGCACACACACACACACACACACACACACACACACACACACACACACACACACACACACACACACACACTCTCTCTCTCTCTCTCTCTCTCTCTCTCTCTCTCTCTCTCTCTCTCTCTCTCTCTCTCTCTCTCTCTCTCTCTCTCTCTCTCTCTCCTCTCTCTCTCTCTCTCTCTCTCTCTCTCTCTCTCTCTCTCTCTCTCTCTCTCTCTCTCTCTCTCTCTCTCTCTCTCTCTCTCTCTCTCTCTCTCTCTCTCTCTCTCTCTCTCTCTCTCTCTCTCTCTCTCTCTCTCTCTCTCTCTCTCTCTCTCCTCTCTCTCTCTCTCCTCTCTCTCTCTCTCTCTCTCTCTCTCTCTCTCTCTCTCTCTCTCTCTCTCTCTCTCTCTCTCTCTCTCCTCTCTCTCTCTCTCTCTCTCTCTCTCTCTCTCTCTCTCTCTCTCTCTCTCTCTCTCTCTCTCTCTCTCTCTCTCTCTCTCTCTCTCTCTCTCTCTCTCTCTCTCTCTCTCTCTCTCTCTCTCTCTCTCTCTCTCTCTCTCTCTCTCTCTCTCTCTCTCTCTCTCTCTCTCTCTCTCTCTCTCTCTCTCTCTCTCTCTCTCTCTCTCTCTCTCTCTCTCTCTCTCTCTCTCTCTCTCTCTCTCTCTCTCTCTCTCTCTCTCTCTCTCTCTCTCTCTCTCTCTCTCTCTCTCTCTCTCTCTCTCTCTCTCTCTCTCTCTCTCTCTCTCTCTCTCTCTCTCTCTCTCATCAGTAATGAAATCACTGTGAAAGTCTCCTTTGACATATATAAAATTACATATTTCATTCAAACATTTTATCCATTTGTTTTATAATTTCTACTGGAAGCTGATCAACCCCACAAGCTTCATTTTGCTCACAGCCTCAACTTATGTTTCCAGAATTGGCTTTTCAATGTTTATTTCTTTTTTTGTTTCTTACCTCCTTATCATTGTACAGTATAGTTCTTCTATGTACTCTTCCCAACTCTCTTTTACTTCTTCTGCCTCAAATATGATCTTATTGTCTTTGCTTTCAATAGTCTCACCCCATTTATTTTCATTTTTTATGGTTCATTTGTACATTTCCCTATAATTATGCCTTGTCGTCATGATCAGTCTCTTTGCATTTCCTTTCTAGATAATATTTCTTGGCCTGTCTGCATTCCCTTTGGATTTCTTTGTTAATTTTAATGTAAGCCTCACTTTGTTTTCTCATATTTCTTCGTCTATTTTTTTTCATTGTCGTCCACTTTTAGCCCTCTTTATTACTTGCATAATAAAAGGGTGTTAGGTCCAGATCCCCTTCCCTGACCAAATAATCATACTCCATGCATTGCTCTCCTGATCATGTCATAATCTTAAGTTAGGGGAATCGGTTGAAATATGAAAATGACTGATATTATATTAACTAAGTTAAATCATGTTTTGAGATTAAATCAAGAATACTGTTTTTTTAATACTTTCTGTATTGTTGCTGTATTAATAAGTATACTTAGAACAAACTGGACACATAATTAAGGTTTCTATTGTAATTTCAATGGATTATTGTGTCCTGTACATTGATAGGACTAATCATCATTATTTTTTTATGGCTATTTTCTACAATTGAATGGGTTAGCCATGATTACCTGATGGCATCTCCATGTAAAATATAAAGCAATATACTATATGTATTTCTTGTTAGATATATGTTTAATTTTTCATTGCAGAACTTACACAAAACCTGTGTAATATTTCAGCTGTTGTGAGCCTGGCCTCAGGGCTAAGTAGCATCAGTACAAGCATTACAAACAGTGAGAGCAGTTGTGGCACCACGTGTGTGTGTGGCATCAGGTTCAGCAGTGCCACCAACTTAGAGGCGCACCGCATGTTTTATTGCACACACCGACCAAATCAAACTGGTATGACAAGCTAAAGTGTTGTTGTAGTGTTTTAATCAAGTATTGTGAATAACAGTGTCAACAAACTGGGGAGAAGACTACGGAGTACAGTAAAGTTCTTCTGTAAATTGAGATTATTTAGAGCATATTGTCTAGGAAAGTTCATTTATTTAATATATTTTAAGCTATACCGTTAAATTAATTACATACAAGTATAGTACAGTATCCTTACTAGAGGCGATTCTTTAAAATATGTTTTAATATTATTATTGCATGTACAGTACAGTCAAGAATATATACCATATACAATGTGTAACAATGGTACAGTCTCGTTCAAGATTCTTCGAACACTGCTGGAGACAGCTGGCAACTCAAGGTCGTTTGTTTACTATACAGTATAGTCTCGATTTACGCGGTCAATTAAACCCGTGGAGGTCCGCGTAAAACGAGGAACGCGTAAACGAAATAACAGAACATATGGGATTAATTGAAATAGAGACTGGGCCGACCCCAGGCTACCCCTTTTTCGGCACAATACGTACCTTGTAGTAAAAAAACATCTTAATTTTATGATGGTATGCACACATACATAATATATAACCTAAATATCAATAAGAAAATACATTACTCTACAGGTATAAGAGAAATATCAAGGAATTTTTAACACTTACGTTAGTAGAAGAGATGGGTGGGCACACGGGGATGGCGGCTGGTTCCGAGGCAGAGGGCAGATTAGTGGCCCTCAGGTGAATCACTTGTATCACTATTCACAGAGGTTAGCAGGGCCTCCCTGACAAACCCTTCAAAGTCCATAACGTCACTGTCACTGACTTGGGCTGGCTGTGGTTGATTGCGGGCGAAGAACTCGGTAATGTTACGTTGACGGCTAGCATTAATGTTGTCGTGATACATCTTGATATACGGCTCCATAGATTGCAACAGAAGGTGATTGGAAACTTCATAACGGTGATTCACTGGGTCTTTGGAAAGGATGAGCTTGACTTTCTCGACATACTCGATAGCCTCCTTTATATCACTATGAGTTAACTTCTGTTCTTCTTTTTCTGCCATACCACCTGCCACAGACAGCTGCCCTCATGCCTCCACCAAGAAATCAACAGCTTTCTTGACGTTGAACTTCTTCCAAAACTGTTTGACTCGCACTTCATGCTCCGCCAACTCTTGTTCTGGATCCTCGTCCTCGCTCTCGCTATCGGTGCCACTCAGAAGGTTCCGCAATTCATCCTTGGTGTTGGTCAAGTCGTTCAGGGGCCGAAACTTCTTTGCGGAGAAAGCAGCCTTTACGTTACATATAACTCCTGATCCATGGGCTGGATTAACGACGTAGTGTTGGGGGGAAGGAAGACCACTTTTACATTGGGGTGACAATCCAACAGTAGGGGCGAGTGTCCTGGTGCGTTATCAAGGAGCAACAAAATGTTGAATGGAACATTATTTTGCTCGCAGAATTTCTTTACATCAGGAACGAAACAGTCGTCAAACCAGGAGAGGGACAGACCAGTGAACATCCACGCCTTCCTTGAGGTTAGCCAGTGGACATTTAACTTGCTCATGTCCATGTTCTTGTAGGCGTGCGGCTTGCGGGCTGTGTGGATCACCGACAACTTGAGCTTACAGGTACCGGAGGCATTGGTGGTAAACAGAACGGTGATGCGCTCCTTCTGCAATTTCCGGCCCCGACACTTGCTGACAGACTTGACAACGAAGATCTTGGTAGGTAGCTTTTTCCAAAACAGACCGGATTTATCCATGTTGAACACCTGGTCGTCGGTGTCCTGTCCTTCCTCCATAACTTCTCATAAGAACGGAGGAAAATCACTCGCTGCAACACGGTCAGCACTACCACCTTCACCAACAATGTTAATGTTGGTGATCTTTTTCCTCTTCTTAAACCCTTGCAGCAACCCAGAGGAAGCAGTGAAGGGTCTGGGCTCTGCAATTCCCATCTCGTGTGCCACTGCCACGTACAGTTCACGGGCGTACTCTTGAACTGAGCTCGTGTCCACCGCCATGTTCCGTCTTGCATGACGAATCAAGTAGCTCACCAGCAAATTCTCAGTCTTGAGCAGCACCTTGTTTTGGCAGTACTTCACCATTGAAGCACCTGCAGACTTTGTGATGCTCATGTGTTCTTTTGTCTTGGCGGCATCCTTCTTGATCGTCCGGATCATAGACTCGTTCACGCCATGCTGGCGCGCCAGATCAACTTGCCTGGTACCTTTTTCCAACTCCCGCACAATCTTGTACTTAACTTCATAGCTTAAAGCTCGTCGTATCTTCTTAGGCTTGGGGCGGCTTGGGCCAGGTAGTTCAAGGTTTTTCTGTGGTGGGGGTCCAGCGGATGCCATTCTTACGAGATTAGCGGGAAGAATGGAGCTCAGTATACACAGGGTGACTGGGAACAAGGCGACTGACGCGGGTAGCGGCTTCTCTGTGGTGGCAGGGCACGTCATATTACATTAAACCAATCACAGCTAGCGGGGGGAGGGAGGTAAGGATGCGTGGCCCAATCACAGTCTGATACGTCATATGACGTTAGCAATAACGTAACAGCGACCTAATGCGCACCCCTCACTGCTCCGCTTCCCGCGTATGGTCGAGAATGGATCGCTTGAATAAAAAATGGCGTGGAGCGTCTGGACCTCCAGCCGCTCTCCGCGTAAATGACCAAATTTAAAGCCCATATTTAAAGCGTAATTAAAGCATTTCAATTCTGGCAAGGCACCGCGTAAATGACCAAATGCGTTAACCAAAACCGCGTAAATCCAGACTATGCTGTATATATATATTTATTTATTTTGCCTGTGGTATATGAATGATGATAAAGTATGGAATCATCATTTAAAGAGGGACTTTAGCCATGGCTGGGATTGTATTGTAACCTCCTTATCCATACGGAAACTTAGCTTTGTTCTAACCATTATCACTTGTACTGGCCCCTTCTAGGAACACAGCCCTAGTTATAAATAGAGGCAACTTCTTATTGTTTTGGGGAACCATATTAGTATTCAAAATGTTTTATTAAATGGACATATGCAGGACAAAAGTTGTCTGGATACCATGTTGTTTACTGTATCAGACTGAACTTGAGTTAAAAGCTACAAACAATTATATAAATGTTTATTAAATGTATAATAGCCCACATTGTTAATATATTGTTTATTACAGAAAATGATGGTGTTAATAAGGAGTTGAGAACTTCTCCGTCTATTGTGAGTCCTCGAAGTGAAGGTGGAAGTGGAGGGGCTGAAGAAGATGATGCGGGTAGAGTGCTACGATGTCCCCATTGCCCTTACACCACTACACACAAGTTAAGTCTCAATGGACATATGAACATCCATACTAGCCCAGAAGACCTTGCAAAAGCCAGCAACAGTCCACAGGCAGCACCTAACCCTCAGGTCACTTTGGGTGAGACCCGAGCCACAGATAGGTACTGCTCAGACTGTGACATTCAGTTTTCATCAGTCAAGACATTCCGTGTTCACAAAGCACACTACTGTCAGACTCGACACGTCCTAAAAGGTGGAAATAAGAGCCCTGCACGTGAAGAACCAGGAACAGGCACTGGTGCGAACACACTAGCTGGCTTGGTCAGTGCTGCAGCTGGAAGTGGTCAGCCAATCTTAGCTCTTCCTACAAATCCCATCTTATTAGTTCCCTACTCATTAGTAGCAGGAGCACAGCTGCTCCCACCTCATGTACTACCTCAGGCTGGAGCAGCTGTTGTCCTTCCTAATGGTCAAGTACAACCATTATCTCCAGGACACCTACCTGGTCCAGCACCACCCCCGTTACTCTCACCTTCTGCTGCTGCTACTCGGGGTACATCTCCTGCGGCTCATAACCTCCCACCTCAGACATCCCCACAGTCAAATCCCATCTCGCCTCCCAAGCACTCGCCCAAAGATGAATCAAGATTAAAATCTATTAGTGGAGAAACATCAGGAAAGAGACGTGGGGAGGGAGAGTGTCCTCTAGACCTAACTACTAAAAGGCCAAAGCTAACTGTTAAAACAGATCTCCTGAGTGATGAAGAGAAAGAGAATCGAGAAGTCAATGCTCCAAATCCAGCAAAATCACCAGTCCCTAAGTCACGTCCTGGATCATCTCATGGAACTGGGGAGTTTGAGGGAAAGTTGTTGGCATCACCACCTCGACCCTCACCATCTAGTGAAGTGGAGGGCCACTCCACTCCACGTTCTCCCCGCCCAGCTTCTGCAGCCCCTACTGTAGGTTCTCCACGAGGTTTGGCAGATTCTCCGAGACCTTCCACCTCTGCCCGCTCTCCTGGGCAACCGACTCAGGTTCCACCAGGGCTTCCCCAAGTACCTCCTGGTTTTCCAAGCCTTTTAGCAAGTTTAGAGAGTTTAGGTGGTTTATCTCTTGCCAGTCTTCAGGGTTTACAGGGTGTCCCTCCAGAATTAGCTCTAAAACTACTCAATTCTGATTTGCTCATGAATGGTTTGGCACCCATCCCAAATCCCCCAGTTATTGTTAAACAAGGTGAAGCTAAGTGCAATGAATGTAACATTGTGTTTTATAAAGAAGAAAACTTGCAAGTACACAAGAAACATTACTGTGCCGCACGTACCGTAGGTAGAGGTGAAGATGATCGTCGTACAAGTGGCAGTAGAAGTCCTGCTGCTGCTGCAGCTGCAGGTGAAAGTGGAGCTGGCCCTTCCAGACGCTCCCCTACAACCCTACCTGAAGTTGCTGCAGCACCTGCTACCAAGGCTTCTGTTTCTGCTTCAAAAGATACAGCCAAACCAAATAAACCTTTATTACAATTCATCTGTACAGCTTGTGGCATTAAGTTCACTTCACCTGACAATTTGAAAGCACACCAAACATACTATTGTCCTAAACGTGAGGGTGCATCAGGAGACGAAGGTATAACTAAAGGGTTGTGGCGCTGTCCCCGGTGCCGCTGTGCCATGCCCGAGACCTTGCAGGCAGCTCATCAGTGTGTAACGCCATCCCCTGCTCCCTCACATGGTTGGAAGTGTCCTTGTTGTCCCATTATTTCCCCCACTGCGGCAGCTGCTCAGAAACATCTGGAAACTCATGCTGGAATTAAAGGATTTCGTTGTACAATTTGTGGTTACCGTGGGAACACACTACGGGGTATGCGCACACATATCAGAATGCATTTTGAAAAAAGGACCAATGATCTACAAGAAGAAAATTTTATATCATGTATTCTCGACGAAGACGATGGAAGTCGTAGAGCAGCAGAGGCTCGAGGTGTAGCCGATCTGCCACGAGTGATCCTGGAGAACCCAACACTCTCTGCTCTTTTAGCAGAGGGAGCTGCAGATTGCTCTGATCAGCCACTGTCCTGTCACTTTTGTCCTTTTGTGACACCTTTCCGTAACAATTTGGCAAGACATCTGGCTTTGGTGCATAAGGTGGGGTTTGATGCTAAGCTCACACAAGATCTACAAGCATTGCTGGAGGGCCATGTCATGGGAGCCACAGAAGCTTCAGCTACTGGAGAATCAGAGAGACATGACCCTGTAGAGAATGGGAACCCAGTTAGCTCACCTCCACTACCAGCTGTTAAGCTGGAGCCAGAAGTCAAACTTGAAGTAGATGAAGATGATAAAGGTCGCATAGTCCCATCCACACCTCATTCCCCTAAGGATGAGGAATCTACACCAGAGGTTCCAACCAGTGGGTCAGCCAGTAGTAATGGTGCAGATGTTCCACGATACTGCAAAGCTTGTAACATTACTTTCTCCTATATTGAATCTTTCTTGGCACACAAAAGATTCTATTGCTCGAAGCCCGAGTCCAACACACCCCCAGAGACGGCAGTGCAGTGACCCGTACAACACACTTGCATTGGCTCCAGGTGTAAGATGTCCACGGGTCACAGTGGATGCAACATATTGCTTCCTAATGCATTATCTTATTTGAGACAGGCCAAGCTTTAGTTGTACATAGTGTTGGGCCAGGTGGTGACATTTTGCCATATCATATGTACATACTGATGATCGCCTGGTCACAGCATTCTACTAACCTGTGCTAGTTGGTAGTACTGTACTCAGATGTGAAATATACCACAAATATAGAGATTTTGAATAACTATTTATATATATGTTTTATAGTCAATGGCTGTTTACTGAGCAACTAGACTCTTGATGATTTCTTCAACCTGCATGAATAAGTCTGGAGAAAGTGTTATAGCTGAAGACTTTTTATGCAGTAAAGATTTTCCTGTCTTATGACAGTTGGTATTTCTCAGCTGCAATTATTGTATGTTTTCATATATACTGTACAGTACAGTATATGAATATCATACCAACTTTCATGTTAATTACGGAAGAGTGAACTAAGTGCTTAAAGTGAAATACAGTTAGTGTATTTAAGTGAGGGTAAGATACTTACATGGTGAACCATAACTACTCTACCATATAGTGTAAGAAACCTGTGAGTAACCGATGGTAAGAATAATGGTAAAGAGGCTGTCTAGTCGTGTTCTTATTGCCATCAATGGGGTGTTCAACCCAATTTCTTTCAACCGCTCATTTAATATGAAATGGAAAAAAGTGGATGTACTTACAAACTAACTAGAAATTTTGCATTTACATTAGTACTCTCAAATATGTGAACATAAATACTGTACGTTATTCAGTTGATGGGTCCTTTACATGAGTACCTACTTTCCTAAATGTTAATACTGTTGCTTAATATATTCTTAAATTTCTCTTGTCTCCATTGTTTGCTTAGTTGTGTATCATGTTGACTTATTGTCGTTCTAAGTCAATCTTAGGGAAGAATCACCTTTGCGCTGGACCAAACCACATGAGTCACTCTACTACTCATGTGACCGTGTGATAGCTCCATGTGGCATGTATACAAAACCCCCATTGTCTTGTGAATGTTTCATGTATGTATGTATGTGTGTGTGTGTGTGTGTGTGTGTGTGCGTGTGCGTGTGTGTGTGTGTGTGTGTTTACTCATTGGATTTTGCTTCGTGTTAGGCTAATCTAATGGCAGGGAAATTAAATTGGAAGAGCTCATTCAATTTTAATGCAATCCAATACTTTAGGACATTGTCTTGTAAAGTGTTCAATGCTCCACTCCTCTGTGCCACACAAAGTCACAGGCCAATGTAAAGTTTCAAAATTTAATTCATTAATGAATCTGGTATTCACCCTGCAGTGTTATTTATCATTTTCTATGCACAATTACCGGTACCAAGATATTTTCTATATGATGAGTTTCTCATGTGCCAAATTAGGTGTTTTCCTTGCCATCAATCTCTGAAGCTGTACAGTTATTTCCATTCCAGACCTACCCACATGTCTATGACAGGCTAGAATTATTACCTAATGTAATTGTTAATATCTGTTCACTTTGGGTGTGATATGCATGAATGTCATGTTTTGTTACTCATCATAGTGAGTTCAGTACCAGTTTGAAACTTTGAAAATTTGTTTGAGTGTGTTGTTCTCCCAGCAGAGTGGACAAGTTGCTCAACTTTTGTCAGATAAGATTATTGATATGTCTTGATGATAACTGTATGATCATGTTAGGTGGGTCTGTAGTATGGAAGTCAGCCTCTCCTTGTACTTCATCCTTCCTCACCCCTCTTCCACATCCATTTCCATCTCTATACAGAGTACCACATTCCCTTCCACCCCTGACCTCATCCCCTTCCATCCCTATTCCACATTCCCTTCCACCCTTGACCACATCCCTTCCCATCATGTAACATGACCCTTTTCACACTTAAACTAAGTTTTTCCTCACCCGTGTATACTGAATTCTTCCCCATCCATGTACCAATTGTACCATATTCATCACCACCATAGCCCCTCAATGCTAAGTCCTTGTGTACCATAATATCCCCTCTCTGTGTACCATAGTCCTCTGGAGTAAAACCGATGTCCGTTTTATGAGCATTTTCTTACCCAATACTTGGTACACATGATTTCATTATGTGATAAAGAACATTGATTCCAGATTTGACAAGATACACAGTGCCAAGTATAAAGTGTGAACCTTAAATCATATGACGGCAGACGGGTAGGCAGAATGAAAGTGTTGCCTATCACTTGGCACCACCTGTAACTCCTGCCAAAAATATTTCCTAGTGGAACTCATGTTTGGTAAAGTTTTGTTAATGCACACTTTATTGTAACATGAGTAGGTATATCTAGAATTTAAACTGCGAGAACTCGGTTGGTGGTGGCCGAGCGGTGTAACAGCACCTTTGCTTTATATAAATACACCCCGATGAATAACACCAAGCTATTCATCAAATTATTCAACATGTGATTCACTATGTTGTTTATGACTAGATCACTGAGGTTGCATCCATCACGGGGGTTGAGCTAGGGTCAGCTGATTCAGTAAACTCCGCTCTCTCTTGCCCCAGAGAGGGGCAGTTCACTTCATACCACTAGACAGGGGATTTCACACTTAACAGAAGTGTTATCTCAAAGTGATATTCACAACACTTCCTTGGAGAAACTCACAATATATTCTCTCAGATTATCGGCCATTTTTTTAAACACTCAGGGCAGCAAGTCCGAAGAGCAATCCCGAATGTCAGGTCACCATTTGGTAACCTGACAAACGGATTCGTCAAACTCGAATATCAATCCCGAACATCGGGTTACTATTTAGTAACCCGAATGCATCAACTCGAGAGGGTTGGTACGCCTTATCCAAGATAAATGTAAATTAACAGGTCATCCGCGCACCAAAATCAAAGCAGAACATGAGCCATGAAGAAGATAAAAATAAAACAAAATCTAATATCTATAATCTATATACAGTGAGTTCTGCTATAACGCGTGTTTTGATAACGCGAATTTGCTCTAACGCGATTTTTTAATTAGGAACGATATTTGTTTAACGCGAACGCTTGTTTGCTATAACGCGATTTTTGCTTACTATTTCTCCAATTTTGTGGTATTAACTGTGAATATGGTAAAGAAGAATATCTCCAAGAAGCGTTCTTGTGATAGAATTCCCGGTGATGATCGTAAAAGAAAGGATATAACACTTGAAGAGAAGCTCGATTTTATCAACCTCAAAATCACCCTTCTCCCCCATCAAGTAAAGTGTTACATTTACTGTATGATTTCATTATTAGATATGAATGTAACATTTATTTAGACTGTGCTATCCTTTGTGTTAGGCTAACTACTAAATTTTTTCGATTTCGAGTAATCTGCACCTAACCCTATTTTCTCCATAAGCCCTGTTATTTCTATTACGCGATTTTCTATAACATGATATTTTATAAGAACACAATTATCGCGTTATAGCAGAACTACCTGTATATTGTGGTAACTATTGTATATAAGATAAATTACTTTTGATAATAGTTTACAAGCTTGTTGCATAGCTATTACAAAGAATTTCTTTAAGAAATTTGTCCATTGTACATTTAACTTTTGTTTATTGTTGTTCCATTGATTAAGATAGGACTGACACGATTTAAATTGAGTGATTGAAAACATCAGTAATAAATTTTGTCACTTTTTCTAACCCTTATTTCGAACATTTCATCTAAAAAAAACATTTTACATAACCTAATCTAAACTTACAAATATTGGTATACCTAAACACAACTGGAACAACAACAACAACAACAACCCGAACAATGAAATATAGCAGGAGAAAATTTTTTCCTAGGTAATTATCAGCTTGGGCCACGGATGACATTTATTGTAAACTATTACATTAGCATCTACCTAGTACATTTGGCTCATCTTATATCTTCCCTATATAATATATTGGCAAATGGAAATTGCATTACATCTATCTATTACAAACAAAAGTGCGTTACTTATCATACTGGAAGCTATACGAGGGTGGTTGTAGGAATGCAATGCTTTGTAAAATTGGAGAAGGGCGATGGGGAGACGAAAAATATTCCGAGTTGAAGGTACGACGTCACAGGGGTACATGGCGGTCTCTTAAAACTATATATTGTACATTTCCATCGTAACTGGTTATTAGGATATTTAAATATTTGTTTTCTTTATTATCTCATCTTAATTTACATGTATTGTATTTCAGAGACGTTTTCTATTCATATATAACTATGTAGTTTGAACATTCAGGATAAGTCTTTTGGGTGCCTACCCACACCCGAGGACTTATCCCGAACTTTCCAATAATATTGTCGGACTACCAAACGGTAACCCGACAAAATTTGGTTAAAAAAAATGGATTACGGCTCGGTGGGGGGGGGTCACTTCCGGGTTACTAATAAGTAACCAGAATGTTTAAAAACGGCCGTATATCTGTGTATATACCTGCTTTCAGCATTAAAACAGAAAATGACAAGAAGTGTTTACATTAAGCTCTGCCACTTCAGAGTTCCATAACTTAAAACAATTAGTGTGATACCAAAACAGCTATCACACATGGCTTTAATTAAGCAATGCCCATTTTTGGAGGACCTGCCACTCATTCTTATCGCTCCCCTGCCGCCGTTAATCGCCCGTAAGGCGTTTGCCACCACTCATTCTTATCGCCCCCCTGCCGCCGTTAATCGCCCGTAAGGCGTTTGCCACCACTCATTCTTATCGCCCCTGCGCCCGTTAATCGCCCGTAAAGCGTTCCGCCCTCTTTCTTTATTGCCCCTGCGCGTTAATCACCCACTAAGGTCGATTGCCGCCACTCATTTTATTGCCCCCTGCGCCGTTAATCGCCCCGTAGGTCGATTGCCGCCAATCATTCTTATTGCCCCTGCACGCGTTAATCGCCCGTAAGGCGTTGCCGCCACTCATGTCAGTGGGTACCTGGGGTGTCAGAGGTGTACCTGGGAGTACACCTCTGACACTCAACACTCCTGACATTACACCTCTGACACTCCCAGGTACGTCCAACACTCCCAGGTACACTTCTGACACTCCCAGGTACATCTGACCTCCCAGGTACACCTCTGACACTGCCAGGTACACCACTGACACTCCCAGGTGCACCTCTGACACTCCCAGGTACACTCTCATACTCCCAGGTACACCTCTGACACTGCCAGACACTCCCAGGTACACCTCCGATACTCCTGGTACACCTCTGACCTCTGGTACCTCTGACACTCCCAGGTGCACCTCTGGCACTCAGGTACACCTCCTGACACTCTCAGGACCACCTCCGACACTCCCAGGTACACCTCTGACACTCCCAGGTATACCTCTGACACTCCCAGGTATACCTCTGACACTCCCAGGTACACCTCTGACACTCCCAGGTACACCTCTGATACTCCCAGGTATACGCTGACACTCCCAGGTACACGCGTGACACTCCCAGGTACACGCTGACACTCCCAGGTACACCCCTGACAATCCCAGGTTCACATCTGACACTCCCAGGTACACCTCAGACACTCCCAGGTACACCTCTGACACTTCCAGGTACACCCCTGACACTTCCAGGTACACCTCTGACACTCCCGGTACACCCCTGACCTTCCAGGTACACCCCTGACACTCCCAGGTACACCTCTGACCCTCCCAGGTACCTCAGCTCCCAGGTACTTCTCTGACACTCCCAGGTACACCTAACACTCCCAGGTACACCCCTCTGACCTCCCAGGTACACTAACACTCCCAGGTACACCTCTGACCTCCCAGGTACACCACTGACACTCAGGTACACCTCAGACACTCCCAGGTACACCTCTGACACTGCCAGGTACACCTCTGACACTGCCAGGTGCGCCTCTGACACTCCCAGGTACACCTCGATACTCCCAGGTACACCTCTGACACTCCCAGGTACACTAACACTCCCAGGTACACCTCTGACACTCCCAGGTACACCACTGACACTGCCAGGTACACCTCAAACACTCCCAGGTACGCCGCTGACACTCCCAGGTACACCTCTGACACTTCCAGGTACACCTCCGACCTCCAGGTACACCCTCAAACCTCCCAGGTTCACTTCTCACACTCCAGGTACAACTCCGACACTCCCAGGTACACCTCTGACACTCCCAGGTACACCTCCGGCCTCCCAGGTTCACCTCCTGACCTCCCAGTGCCTCTGACCTCCCAGGTACACGCTGACACTCCCAGGTACCACGCTGACACTGCCAGGTACACCTCAGACACTCCCAGATGCGCTGACACTCCCAGGCACACCTCTGACACTTCCAGGTACACCTCTGACACTGCCAGGTACACCTCTGACACTGCCAGGTACACCTCTGACAATCCCAGGTACACCTGTGACACTCCCAGGTACACCTCCGACACTTCCAGGTACACCTCCGATAATCCCAGGTACACCTCCGATATTCCCAGGTACACCTCCGATACTCCCAGGTACACCTTTGAGACTCCCAGGTACTCCACTGGCCTCCCAGGTACACCTCTGACACTCCCAGGGACTCTCTGATACTCCCAGGTACACCTCTGACACTCCAGGTACACCTCAGATACTCCCAGGTACACCTCCGATACTCCCAGGTACACCTCTGACACTCCCAGGTACTCTCTGACATTCCCTGGTTCACCTCTGGCACTCCCAGGTACACCTCTGACACTCCCTGGTACACCTCCGACACTCCCTGGTACACCTCCCGACCTCCCAGGTACACCTCTGACCTCCCAGTTACCTCCGTCACTTCCAGTTACACCCTGACACTCCCAGGTACACCCCTGACACTCCCAGGTATACCCCTGACCTCCAGGTACACCTCCTGACACTCCCAGGTACTCCTGTGACACTCTCAGGCTCCTGTGACACTACCTGGTACTCCTCTGACACTCCCAGGTACACCTCAGACACTCCCAGGTACACCTCCAGACACTCTCAGGTACACCTCAGACACTCAGGTACACCTCTGACACTCCAGGTACACCTCTGACACTCCCAGGTACACCCTGACACTGCCAGGCACACCTCTGACACTCCATGTACACCTCCGACACTCCCAGGTACACCTCCTGACACTCCATGTACACCCCTGACACTCCCAGGTACACCTCCGACACTCCCAGGTACACTTCTCACACTCCCAGTTACACCTCCGATACTCCCAGTTACACCCCTGACACTCCCAGGTACACCTCTGACACTCCCAGGTACACCTCTGACACTACCAGGTACACCTCTCACACTCCCAGGTATTCCACTGACCTCCTGGTACACCCTGACACTCCCCAGGTACTCCACTGACCCTCCCAGGTACACCTCAGACACTCCCAGGGACACCTCAGACACTCCCAGGTACACCTCAGACACTCCCAGGGACCTCAGACACTCCCAGGTACTCCACTGACACTCCCAGGTATTCCACTGACCTCCCTGGTACACCTCAGACACTCCCAGGTACACCCCTGACACTCCCAGGTACACCTCTGACACTCCCAGTTATACCTCTGACACTCCCAGGTACACCCCAGACACTCCCAGATACACCTCCGACACTCCCAGGTACACCTCCGACACTCCCAGGTATTAGCCCACCCAGGCATAGATCACAGAGTTGCCAACTCGGATTTTCAAATTTCGCTAGGCTGGTACCTAAAAGTAGCTAAATGTCGCTAAATCTTCCATGGAAAGTCGCTAGCTATTATTCCTCCCCTTCAGTAATTTGATGCAAATAATATTTTCATAATGCCGACTATAATGGACGGAGTATAAATAAAATGCATTATGTAAATTTTTCAGATTTTCTGTGAAATGTGGCGCAAGAATATTGCATATTATCCCAGAACACTTTGATCTTTTTAACTTGAGTTCACTGCCTGCCTTGCTGTCACTAAAATATACTTTACACACTTCACTTAAGTGTTCTACCACACGAATAGAACAATGTTCAGCTACAAACATGACCAGAGTTCCCTGCACTTTTTTTGCTTCACCAAGTTTCTTGAATGGTAAAATTGTCTGTCTCTGCACTAAACGGCTCTTCTGCTTTCTTGTGTTTTTAGTGTTTTTGTGTTTTTCAATGTCGCACAACTTAGCAGACAAAGTACACTTGCAAAATTTACAAAATCCTTTTTTATTATCTCCTGGCACCTCCAGAAGCCAATTTTTGTATCTGTCATCTCTGAGCCATTCCTTCCTAAATCGCTGCGAATACTGTGGCTTACCCACTTTCTATTGGGACTATGAAGGGTTCAAATTAATAAACAGCATGCAAACAAGCGGAAACTTTCCTTGATGGTTTTTGGCAAAGCGGGTGAACAGTGTCGGGGCAACTGTATGGAGTCTATGGGTCACCCATGGTGGACGCGGATGACAAGTTTGGAACCACGCAAGCTTGATAGAATTAATTCTATAAGATGTTTTGCTTATATTCTTTAAAATTTAGCGTATTAATGAAATTCATATTGCATATCTGACAAAAAGGTAAGTCACCCAGGTACTACAAAGGCGAAGGTAACAGACAAATAAATGACAACACGGCAACATTAGCCATGGACGGGCTGACATCAAGTGATCAGGAAATAGAGGTGTCCCTCCTTCTGTACCACGACCCGTTCAAATGTATTAAACTTTTCTGATTATTTATTATCCCTGTAACCCCGTTGCTATATATTATGGCTCGAAATTAGGAAAACTGAGTTTTCATGGACAGTCCAACTGTCCAAAAGTACCCAGAAAGTCGCTAGATTTCTGTGGATATCTCTAGAGTCGCAAATCGCTCTAAATGTCGCTAGAAAAAAACAAAAAGCTCTAGATCTAGCAAAAGTTGGCAACTCTGATAGATCACTGTAGTAATAATAATTATAATAATAATTATTCATAGTAAATAATTTTTTTAATAAAAATACACCAAAATAAAATAATAATAATAATAATAATAATAATAATAATAATAAAATTAATAATAATAATAATAATAATAATAATAATAATAATAATAATAGCAATAATATTGTAATAATAAAATAATAATAATAAAGAAATACAAGAATGAAAAAAAAGATCAAAAGTGAGAAACACGATCTAGACCTATGAATTATTATTATTATTTTTATTATATTTTCCACCCCCAGGCCCCAATGTGGGTCAGTGATCTATGCCCGGGTGAGCTAACACACATTAAAAAAATAACCATTCTGAAAACCGAACTACCTCTGGCCAAGGCCGCCCAGGTCTTGTATTGTTAAAGAGCCTTTGCCAGTCTCCAGACCATTTGAACAGCTCACGTAGGTCTTTCTTCATTATTGCAATATCATCTTAACTTCCCAAATATCTATACAGTATAGCTATCTAACAAATAATTAAATGTGGCGGTGAAGGAGTTCTCATAAGAGATTAAAAAATAAATCCGGGTTTGTCAGTCGACCAGTCAGCGGGGTCAGTCAGCTGCTGCCTACCACTGGTTGAGGGAACATGGCGCTCAGGGCTACCACCGTACTGCGTCTCCGTTCACCCATTGCTTTGTGAGTACAGTCATGTCACTTATTGGAATCCCTACAACCTGTAAATGATTTGATGATTATTTTTTTACAGCTTTGGTCGGTGAGTTTGTAAGTTAATGGTGTTGTAAAACTACGATGACTAGGAATTTTATTATCAACAAACCGGTGAAGTTGTAATTCACATGTTATCGCTTGTCATCTTTGTTCTATTATACTGAAATGTATAATAAAACGTGACTGTGGATATCCGGCAGTACGGGAACGAAAAGCTGTAAATAAGTTGTTAAATATTGTACAATGACTTAGGGATTTCTTAGCCACCACCCTTCCCTTCCCCATAAGATAATCAGAGAAAAAATAATAAGTTAAATATTTCGGCAGTGTCTGAGAGAACTACTACTACTAATTCTAATACACTTTTCATCTGTGGCATATCCATCAGAAATTTATATTTTTTGAGTATTTTAAAAGATAAAGTTACCAACAATATTACTTGGGTAAATGTCCTGATGAACACCCCTTTGAAGCTTAAATTTTCTTTTTCCTAAGATTTTTAGTGAGATTCATTTGAGTAACATCCATTTCTGTCGGAAATCTCTCGTACGTTGACAATGAGCTGAGGTTCTCGGGCCATTTTGAGAAGTAGGTAAATCAGGCAATTAAATTACTAGGTCTTATAAGAAGGTCGTTAACATATCTAGAAAGTCCGTCCCTAATAACAGTCTTGAAGAGTGAAGTGCTTCCCCGTCTGGAGTACTGTCACCCCGTCTGGTCCCCGAGATATTTTAAGCTTCAAAAGTAACTCAACCTAACCTAACTTAATTAAACCTAACCTAACCTAACGGGAGCTTTGTGACCGACCAAAGTAATTACTTTAAAAAAAAATCAATATTTCGACAGAGTTATTTCCGACATGTTTATAGAAGAAAAGTTGCTTAGAATTGTATAAGGTAAGTGGGTATTATTTTACTTTTGGACAACACGGGAATCTTAAGAATTTTATCTTTGTAATCAATAGTTTAGACTATTCTAAGACACTTTTCTTCTGTGACGTTGCCGGGTGGTCAGGGGAGGACGGAGTCCGCCGGTTGGGAGGTTAGGTTAGGTCAGGTCATTTACAAGGGAAACATCACAGAAGAAAAGTGTCTTAGAATAATCTAAACTATTGATTACAAAGATAAAATTCTTAAGATTCCCGTGTTGTCCAAAAGTAAAAATTTACTGGTAAGTTAGTATTGTTGTGCGTGACTTGGGTGGTAATATGGAAAAACACCATATGTTGTTTAAAGGGGGCAGGGCTTTGAAGTAGAGGGAAAATGTGGGGTAAAATACTAAAAATAATGCCAAACAAACCTTTGAAAACCTGACAAAACATTCCTAACTTGTAAAAATTGGGTCCGACTAATTACCCAAATGTACCCAAATGTAGCCAAATATAGCCGGAATGAAGTCAAATAATGGTCCTAGATGAATAAATTGGACTGCCAATCACTTCTCGACTAGTATTTGGTGTCAGAAAGTCACAAAAAATTGGAAAACTTACTTTAATCTGAGTTAATAGATTGCGTGCATGTACCGACGGAGCGAGGAATTACCCAAATGTACCCAAATGTAGTCGCAATGAAGTCAAATAATGGTCCTAGATGAATAAATCGGACTGCCAAGCACTTCTCGACTAGTATTTGGTGTCAGAAAGTCAAAAAAAAATGGTAAACTTAATTTAATCTGAGTTAATAGATCGAGTGCATGTACCTAACCTAACCTCGACTAGTATTTGGTGTCACGAAGTCACAAAAAAATGGTAAACTTAATTTAATCTGAGTTAATAGATCAAGTGCATGTACCTAACCTAACCTAACACAACACAACTCAGATTAATTTAAGTTTACCAATTTTTTTTTTACTTTGACACCAAATAATAATCGAGAAGTGATTCACAGCCTGAATTACGCTTGTACGACCATCATTTGACTTCATTGCGGCTACATTTGGGTAATTCCTCGCTCCGTTGGTACATGCACGCGATCTATTAACTCAGATTAAAGTACGTTTTCCAATTTTTTGTGACTTTCTGACACCAAATACTAGTCGAGAAGTGATTAGCAGTCCGATTTATTCATGTAGGACCATTATTTGACTTCATTGCGGCTATATTTGGTTACATTTGGGTACATTTGGGTAATTAGTCGGACCGGTAAAAGTTTTAAGAATTGATTTTGAGTTTATGGATCCATTTTCATCTAAACATCGAAAACAAAACCAACACAGTACAGAACTGTACTAAAAACCGAAAGCACCACCACCACCTACTAAATACCTGAATCATGAATATGGTAAAAAATTTATAGTTTTAGAATTTTTAAAGGTTAGGAAACTTTAGGGGAGGTTATCTTTTTTTAATCCCACATTTTCCCTCTACCTCAAAGCCCTGCCTACTTTGAACAAGTAATATTATTGGTAATTTTATCGATTAAAATACTCAAAAAATTAAATTTCCGACGGAAACGCTATAGAAAAGTGTCTTGGAATTGTCTAAACTACTGATTCCAAAACTTAAACACCCAGAATTTGCTACATGGCCGAAACGATAAATTTACCCTTACAGTATTTGGATATCTGGTACCGTACTAATGAAGTCAAATTTGTTGAAGCATCATGGTATAATCTTTTGTTTTTAGTGGACGTGAGAATACCCTTGTACCGAGTGGGTCGGTTGTAAACAGACGGACGATGCACTGTGACTGCACTTTTCAGAGGAGTATAGTATTTACAGTAAATAATTAATTCTTTGCATATATAGCACGTAGATAAATAATTTTAATGCCGTGTGATCAGTTTTGGTATTATTGCAGTTTCGGCCAATACACGGCCAACTGTTTTAACCATCCCCAACCTTTAGGTCTCCTTATATGGAGTATTTCTAACCCCATTTCAACTCGGAGGCAAAGAATAATAATGTCAGAAATGAATTTTAAAGTTTTTCCATACGTTTTTTTTTTCCGGGGACTCTAAAATGGGTACTGTACTTTTCCCCAGAAGTAAAGGTCAAATTTAATTAAATCACACCAAAATACGCAGGATAAGCTGATTTCTAAACTATTGGCAGAAACTGCAATTTTACCCAGTTTTCCACCTTGTTTTACCCTGCAATTTCTCTCATCCTTTATGGAATTTCTAACATATCGGTAATTAGAACTGCTTTTATGGACTCCGGTAGTTTAGACTCTCGGAAAACATTCCCTAACACCCAGAAACGTTCTGGGGATGTGGGCTAGTGTAAGATGTGTAGTTTAGACACTCGGAAGCATTTTACAGTAACCAGAAAAATTCCGTATCCCCGGAATTTTTCTGGGTTTGGGAAAGTCGTCTGGTTACCCGGAAATCTCTCCTCCCCAGAAGTGCTCTGCACCAATTGTTGAGGCAGCGGGATATTTTAGTACAGTATTTCTGTTCACCCAAAATCCGAACACCGCCCTTAAAATCCTGTAAGTCACTACTCACTATCATGTTTTAATATTTACAATTATCACACTTACAGTATGTGCAATGAAAGCTTTTTGGCAGCGGCTGGAAAAAAGTACATAAATAACATTTGTTTTTATACAAATTATTAAAATAAATTAGTACTGTACTGTACTGTACTGTACACCTTTACAGTTTATGGATATAATGAACACTCGTTGCTCAGAACTCAGGAGATGAATCAGAATAACCTAACAGCCAACTTCATGTTTGCTTTGTTTGTGGACACCAAAACAAAGTACAGCCCAACGAAGTTGTCAGCCTTGCACTACCAGTGTAAAAAGCTGTGGTTGATTGATATACTGTTTGCAATAATCATCATGTGCATAAATACTGCACATTGATGACAGTAATGTGTGCTCACCAATGTGTCAAGGGTTCTTTCCATAGAAATAAGAGAAAGTGAAGGCCAAAAAATTTTATCTGTAAATTATTGTTATCTGCACCTTTGTCATGTCCTTGACAATTCTGTATGTCATGCCATAGACCTTTAGTAGAATTACATGAATAAAATTACAGTACTGTACATGTGTTAATTTTTTCTAGTTTTTGAGTGAACCAGTATTTTCATGTATGTTATGAGTCCTTTAGTAAAACAAAAATATTATGTAGTTGTGTTTGGTGTAGTACTGTATTTATTCATCACCAACTCAAAGAAATACAAAAATCAGTCAATTTCTCCCCATATTCTCTTATTTTTCTTTATTACAGTAATCTCATTTAATCCACTGAATTATACTTTGTGTTCTTATATTGTATCAATATTTTTTCCTAAGAAATTCATATGAATAATTGTGTTGGTACACATTATCTGATGATCATTTTGCAGGTGTGTGAGAGGCATGTCAAAGGGTGAGCCTGGTTCAGGTTCTGGTCAAGGTGGTGGTACTGGTGGAACAATCAGGGATGCTGGCGGTTCCTTTGGTAAGAGGGAGGCAGCCCAGGAGGAGCAGTATTTCCGTAAACTGGTGAGTTTGAGTTAGAGTACCGTACGTGTTATGATATATTTTGTTCTATTTTATTTTTTTCTTGCTTGTTTCGGCCATATAACAGCAGCTATGGGAGTGCTTGATTTTTCTGCATCTTCATCTGTTGGAGTGATGATCCATTTGTTTACAGACACTTTATTTGTTCCACCTCTCTCTTCAAGTGCAATAAAACTACTGTACTGTTCTGCATCTATAAATGAGCCATCACCAAAATCTTAGTCGATTCATGATATCCCTGAGGAAAACTCTCCATTAAGATATGGAAAGTAGCCAAACAATTCAGGGTTTCATTGTACAGTACATAATATAATCTGTGACCATAATGCAAAAATAAGGAAGCAAAACTCGTGTGATAAACTATAGCATTTGTATTAAAAAACTATATACTGTATAATAAAAATGCAACTAACCATAAATAATTGACCATTTTTTGGACATAAATGTTTTTATGAGCACCTTGCAACTCCAGTACTGTCCATCCACCCAGGTGAATCCAGGTAACTGAACCAGTGAACAATAAAGATATAGAATTCTAAGAGAAAGGGTGGAGTTCAGAAGGAAAGAAATATTTGGAGTTTTGGATATTGTCGGTGACAAACGAGGGTGGGTGAAGGGAGGGCAACTGACTGAACAAAGACACCGGCTGGTGCTGTTGGCTGGCTTCAAGGCATTTTTTTTAAATATTTGAAGCTAGCCTATAGTGAAATTACAGTGATGTGGAATTTTCAGTTCCTCAGAGATTGTCCATGTTCTATTTTTTCCTTTTAGCACAGCTAAACTCCGTTCAGCACAGCTAACTCAGTTCTGTACTTTGGTGTTTGTTTGAGGTCAGTGTGAAAGCAAAATAAAGGCAAACAATAGACAGAGTGTAGAGAGCACACCCAGCCTGATGTTTGAGCCAGCACTGTTGTTGTCTCATGCCATGTAAACAGCGGGAATTCAGGTTGACACAATAACTCTTCAGGAGTTGAACTTCCCCTCTCCCTCTTCCAGTAGAGAATGTATCTCCAATTATGTAAAGGGAGTCTGTGTATGTGTACAGTAATGTACTGTATTTTGTTATATATGCTGACCAAGTGTTTCATACTTATTCACTTTGTTTTAAATCTCACCCAGTTTGTCTGTAAAGTACAATATAGGTATGAAGTTGCTATTACACTCTAAAATATTGCATGCATTTCATTTATTATTTTCCTAATTGTCACCCAAACTAGAAGTGACTAAAATTACTATTAAAAACACTTTTTTTGTAACATTGTGGCATTTTTGAAATTTTTAATTTCTCAGAAATTGAATTACAGTACAGGGGATGCAGGCTTTATTTATTCTTTCTCAAAACCACTCCAATGTAATACAACCCTGTGTCCTCAAAACTAAATTTATAACCAGAGACAGAATCCACTTGAAGGATGAAACATGGGTTATGGTATGGAACAACTGTCAGAGCCAGGTCAAGTAGAACATTTAGAAGACAGAACTTGTTAACTATATGATCAAGGGTTTATTTGTTGACTGTCTACCCTGTGTAGTCCATGCTAGCAAAGTGGTCATAAATTTAGGTTTGAGGACACTCCAATGTGATACAACCCTCTCCACTACATACATACATAACATACAGCCATGTTACATAGTAAATTGGGGTCTACCAGTATATTCTGCATGCTGGTTAATTGCATGACAGTGTGTGTGAGCTATACAAAGGTACTGTACAGTGACACCTCGATATAATGGACTTTCCTCTCCATATAGTCTATTAAATAGAGGCTAATTAGGATTGCTGGAAATAAAGAGGAATAACAAGTGTTTGTAGACCTTTGATACAGTAAAGGTGGTTCTGAAACACACTAAATAACAGTATCTAATAGTGCAGGGTCACCGAGGGGGTTGAGAAGGTTGTGTAACTTTGAAACTTTTTAAGTGGCTTGATCTGAAATATGGAAACCAAACCCACCTTAAAAGACAGATCACTTAATATTAAAAAAGGTTTTATGCTCACTGGTATCCTCTTATTTGCTTTCCTTCACTGCCTTAATGCAATAACATATATCATTATGCTCCCCTACCAGAACAACCTAGTACAGTACTGTATCCCCGTCAGTAGCACATCCTTTACCATAAACAATTGTACTGTACATTATTTCCTCCTGTACACACACACACATGTACTGCTTCTTGGATAAAAAGTTTTCTTTTCTGAAATTTTAAATGGCTTTGGCAGACTGTAGAAATGAACTGGGTAGCCAGGTTTGCACATCATGGGTCTTAGAGATTCACCAGATTGACCAATCTTAAGCAGTCAATCAATGAAGAGGAGATACTCAGGTCTGAGGTTTGGCAACAATGGCATTTCACCCTAAACACTTGTCTACTCCTCAGTTTTATATCTTTCCAGACCCTGTTATTAATTTCACACAACCATATCAGTCTCTGCCTTGTCCTGACCTTCAGTTTTACCCATTTTTACCATCCCTATTTATACAGCCAAATTATTTCATTATCTTATTCTAAAAAAATTTAGTTCAGTATTTCTATCATGGCTGTGTCCAATCTTAATACTTCATGTAATTTTATGTCAGTAGTAGTTATCTTTTAGCATTTTCTACTAACTGTTCTAGATTTCTTTTGGTGTCTCTTAAGAGTTTCCATTCCTTTGACCCATACAACAGTACCTTACGTAGGATCTCACGTTTTAAGTAAATAAATGTTTCTTCTCAGACCTTCAGACTTAAGAAAGGTTGTTTTTGCTGGACTTATATGAATTGTTTTAATTTCTTTCACTTCTATCATTGTAACTTGCATTTCTTTTCAAGTGCACAGAATTTTCCACCTATTTTGTTCCTCTTTGCCTATCATGAATTTTTTTTTTAGGATTTATTTTTAATATAGAAACAGCCATTACTTGCATCTCTATAGCAATAACTCCTTGCCTGTGTTTTTGCCTTTTCTCGCTAATCTTGCACAAAAATCTCTCTAATCCTGCCCTGCTTCATGATCTAACTGGGGTGACAGAGTTCTATAGTATTGTATCTTGCATTTCCAATTGGGAAACTTAAATTTAATTGAAAACAATATTATCCAGTCCATTTACTAATTTACCAATACAGTACTGTACATCTAGAGTGTGGGGTGCCTTTGAAAATTAGTTTAAATAGTCTTTTCTTGATTTTCTTTTTATAATACTGCATCTTGTTACCAGCATAGTTACTGTAATGCACGCTTGGATGGATATTTATACATAAACAGTATATATATATATATTTTTTAAACCGATCTTCCATCGCTTAAACTATGAACTTGCTTTTGGCTTACATCGCTAGGCAGTTGTAATACTTTTGTCACTGTTAAATACTGCATATGCTTATGGCCAGCAAGAAGACCAGTTGAAGGACCTTAAGGGGAAGACGACAGAGAAGGAAAAGGGCACCACAAAAGACAACAAGTGATGACAATGATCTTCTGGCTTCTTAGTAGGTGTTCTTGCAGCATGTGCATTCAACCATGGTGGTTTTTTTATCCAAGGTTCTTTTTCTTTACATAAGTTTTGTGTGCTGGACTTTCAAAATACTTAAAAAATATACAGTATATATTAAAATTGCATTTTTAATTTATACGTCCAGTTTTGGTAATCGATTACTGGAAATTTATGGCTACATTTTATTTGCAGCAACATCAACAGCTGGAAAAAATGAGGCAGGGACTTAAGCAAGAAGTAAAGTTTCATGAAGACCAGATCAAGGCTCATAAAGATGCTATCAAGAGACATCATGAGCGTTTGGATGATCTTAAATGAGTTGCAGGAATATAGAAAATAAAAAAAATGCAGTTTGTTTGCTCTTAATCATAAGTGTATCATACTTAAAACACAGCTAATCTCTGAGCAATGGTTGAATTTTATTTTAGCAGTTGTGCTGGATGTAGTTCAGTGGACATTTAATTTCATTTGGTTAAAGGCTCCTTTGTATCAAGTAAAACTTAAAGCAAATCAGTGCACTGTTGTAAATATTGTGTGAATGTATTGGAGATTATTGGCTAGTGAAAAATATTTGTAATAAAGGATGCCTAAGTGAAGCAAAGTTTCAACTTCCCTTTAACTATTCAGCACTAGTTGTGTCTGCACTGTACATCTGTTTTATTATGCTGGTGTCAGTGTCTTCCACAAACTGTGGGGAGATCACTTGATCATACACACACTCCTGGACTTGAGTAAGAGTTATGTTTCTGGAACCATTATGTAACTGATCTTACTCAGTAACCATAAGTGGATTCCCTACACAACAACAGTACATTAGATCTTAATAAAATCACACAGGAAACAATGGGGCGCCTTAGCTTTCGTCTTTATTCATTGTGGATCTACATGAAGTACATTAGATCTAAATTGAAATTAAATAAACTACTGTACTGTATTAGTAAATAATAGATGATTAATTGAAAATTTACATTACGTACAAGCACATTATTTTAATTCATAGTGTTGACTTGCAAATTTGAAAGGATGGCAGTGCAGGTGTGATGGCAATGTTACTACATCATGGTGGTAAAGGAGAGAGAGGAGGAAAGAACAGCAGACTCCTCCACAGGGTTGCCAGGGCCATCAACACTCCTCCATAATACTATGCAACCAAAAGTACACCGTGGTACCCAAGTTTGCCCACATATAACTTGGCATAGGAAATCTGCACTTAACAGGAATAAAGCTCCAAGTTTTGTGTTTCCTTCTGTACCATTAGTTTTGTTATTTTCAATGGAACTTGTACAGTACGTAAAGTTGAATTTACATTCTTCAAGTGTTACTAACTTGAGAACTGACTTTCTTACACACCCATATTCCATCAATAATCACCAAAAGATGTGAATTATACGAAAGCGCTTGGGAACTTCGTGTTTTCTTCTTTCCTTGTGGTTATCAGCATTATATATAATATATATATATATATATATATATATATATATATATATATATATATATATATATATATATATATATATATATATATATATATATATATATATATATATATATGCATATATATATATATATATATATTTATGCATATACAGCTAGACCCCGACTTATGACGCGGTTACGGACCCAAATCCAGGTCGTAAGTCCGACATGGTCGTAAGTCCGACATAGATAAAAAAAAATAAAAAATAAAATTTCAAAAAAATAAAATCAATTTTTTTTTTGTTTTTTTTCAAAAAAAAATTAAAAATCTACAATGAAATACAGTACACTAAACGAAAAAAATAATGAGGAATGGATACAGTACAGTAAAAGTCATAAATAATGAGGAATGGATACAGTGTGACTGAGCACACGGGGCCCCCATAATTTTCTATTTACAGGATACATGGAGACTATATTAATTGGATGAAGCAGAAGAGGAGACAGGCCTGTTGGGTCATCAATGTCGCTTTCTTCAGACAGGTTTATGTACAGGGGTAAATTGCTGGTTGAAGGTATTGGATCATCTTGAGGGAGTGAAGAGGCAGCACTGGTGGGGCGTGAGGAGCCAGTACTGGGGGACTTCTTGAAATAGATGTCCAATTTAGACTGCACAGTTTGCTTTTTCTTTTCATTATAAATTTCTCTGTAGCAAGCAAGTGCATCTTGGATCATTCTGTCAACTTTGGCATAACGCTCATAATTTTGATCCATGTCATCAAACATTTGCATTCCTTTATTAATTGTAGCAAATGCCTCTGCCATATGTTTCACTGAAAACTTTTTGGGGGGTGCAGGCTCTTCTTCTGCATTTTGTCTCTCTTCTTCCTCTGCAACTTTCTGTGCATCTAGTTCAATAAGTTCCTCGTTACTGAGCTCTTTTGCTACACTTTCAACCAACTGTCCAACATCTTCAGTATCAATTTCTAACTCCAGCTGTTTACCTAACTCCACTATCTTGTTACTAATATCCAAAATAACTTCATTTTCATTAAATCCTTTGAAACTGTTCACATATCTTTTCAGGATTGTCTTCCATTTTCCATTCATGCAATGTTTTGTAACCTGATCCCATGCTGCACTAATGTTCTTTATACATGACAAAATGTTGTACTCCTTCCAAAACTGTCTGAGCGTTTTCTCACCTTCAGTAGCAGCAACAGCCTGAGCGAAGGTCGTGCGTAAATAATACGCTTTAAAGGCAGCAATAGCACCTTGATCCATGGGTTGGATGATAGAGGTAGTGTGAGGTGGAATGTACACTACCTTAACATCAGGGTGCATGTCGTCCAGGTGTGGTGGGTGTCCCGGAGCATTATCCAAATTATCCAAAATCAGTAAAATCTTGAATGGAATCCTTTGTTGCAGACAATACTCCTTGGCTCGTGGAATGAAACAAGTCATGAACCAATCCTCAAACAGTACTAGGGTCATCCAGGCTTTCTTGTTACTGCGATAAAACACTGGCAGTGTGTGCTTGCTGACATGTTTAAAAGCCCTGGGGTTCTCTGAATGATAGATCATGAAGGGCTTTAGCTTGAAACCAGCAACATTCCCCCCAACAGAAGTGTAATTCTGTCCTTGAATGCCTTGAATCCGGGCATTTTTTTTGCCTCTTTGTGGATGTATGTCCGCTCAGGCATGCGTTTCCACAATAATCCAGTCTCATCCACATTGAATATTTGCTCAGGCAAATAATTCCCTTCCACAATCACATCATGTAACTCCTCCTTAAAAGCTTCGGCAGCACCAACATCGGCACTAGCTGCCTCTCCACTCACCTTAACATTGTGTAGACTGTAGCGTTTTTTAAATCTATCAAACCACCCATGACTTCCTGTAAAGGTTTGATCACATTCATCTCCTGCCTGCTCCTTCAGGCTTTGGAACAGGCTTCTTGCTTTAGCCTGTATGGTTAGAACACTTGGGTTCATATCTAGGTCTGTGAGTAACAGAACTGCTGACGTTATCTTGAAACTTTACCTAGCATTAGTGAGGCCACACATGGATTATGCGGTTCAGTTCTGGTGTCCTTATTATAGAATGGACATAGATTCTTTGGAGAGAGTACAAAGAAGAATGACAAAAATGATCCATAATATTGAAACCTTCCATATGAAGAAAGACTGAAAAGCTTAGGCTTACATTCATTAGAGGCGTAGAGTTAGGGGATATGATAGAGGTGTACAAGTGGGTAAGTGGGATTAACAAGGGTAAAATGGAAGATGTTCTGAGCTCAGTAATAACAGAAATAACTAGAACAAATGGCTTTAAATTAGATAAATTCCGATTCAGAAAGGATATAGGCAAGCACTGGTTTGGTAATAGAGTTGTGGATATGTGGAATAGGCTACCGAGTGCTATAGTAGGATCGGGGGCGGCTAGGGAGCTTCAAGACGAAGTTGGATAGGCACATGGAAGTGCTGGGATGGGTGTGAAAGGGATCTGCCCTGTATGGGCCAGTCGGCCTCCTGCAGTATCCCACTTTCTTATGTTCTTATGTTCTTATGTAACACTTAAGGGTACACGCTTCTGTATCTGGTCTTCTATCCATATCACCAATAATTTTTCCATATCGTGGATAGGACCTTGTCTTTTCTTTGATATTATAGTTCCCTTTATAGGTGTTGTTCCTTTCACTACTTCACGAATACGTTCCTTGTCCTTCAGAATAGTGGATATAGTCGAGTGTGAGAAACCTAGGTCGCGTGAGATTGTTGCTACTGTTTTTCCATTCTCATACTGTGTTATTATCTTCAGTTTCATCTCAAAAGTAATTGCCTGTCTCCTTTTCCTTGGAGCACCACCAGCACTCTCACTTTTACGCTTTCCAGTCATTATAAAGTCAATTAAATACGATAATAACGAAAGTTCACAGCGCGATCAGTATAGGATACGATAGCCAAACACAAACAAAGCGCTCCACTGAGTGAGTGTACCCACGAGGCGACCCAAGACACCCCTCCCTCTCGCCCGGGACGGAAACGTTCCGGTATAGAAAATGCGCCCGTCATTTGAAAAAATTTTTGGTCACGACGGTCGCAGTCGTATGGACGTACGGTCAAAGCAGGTCATAAGTACCAATGGACGTAAGTCCACGTAGTCGTAAGTCGGGGTCTAGCTGTATATATATATATAGCGAACGCTTGTTTGCTGTAACGCAATTTTTGCTTACTATTTCTCCAATTTTGTGGTATTAACTGTGAATATGGTAAAGAATATCATCTCCAAGAAGCGCTCTGTTGATCGCATTCCCGGTGATGATCGTAAAAGAAAGGCTATAACACTTGAAGAGAAGCTCGATGTTATCAACCTCAAAATCACCCTTCTCCCCTATCAAGTTATATTCATATTTCTTCACGGTAAAGTGTTACGTTTACTGTATGATTTCATTATTAGATATGAATGTAACATTTATTTAGACTGTGCTAACCTTTGTGCTAGGCTAACTACTAAAATTTTTTCGATTTCGAGTAGTAATCTGCACCTAACCCCATTTTCTCCATAAGCCCTGTTATTTCTATTATGCGAATGTGTGATGAAATATTTCCTTGTACACTTCCTACATAACACCTTGGTAAGCTTGAAGTTGTATCCTGGCCTGTGGTAAGATTCACCCAGTTTATTATCTTGTAATTTGTAGAGATAGTTTGTCAAATCCTTTGGTACGAGGGGTTGCTCTCTGCCGAATAAAATTGTCTAGTACTGTATTTACCAAATTGAATTTTATGGAGCCACTTCCCACTCTGATGTAGGCAGCTCTATATAGCACACTTTTAATTACTGTTAGCTTGCTTTTGTTTTATGCCATCAAATCACACCAAATGGATTCAGATGATACTACAGTATGGCATTTAGCTTGTCAATGATGCTTCCTGTCAGCTGTTCCTTGACATACAATAGTACACCACCACCTCTTGTAGTCCTTTCTGAATGGTGGATACCCTGGTAGATAAAATTCACCCGACGACACATTTCAGTCCCAAGACTTGATGATGTCCAATTGTTCTGTCTACATATGCACTCGGTACATCAGTCTTATAGCATTCGTGTGTTGTACCGACACTTGATTAGCATAGTTTCGTTGTGGATTAATAGAATCACTCGTTTTTCTTTGGGA